GATCGGTCGCCGACTGAGTCGGGTCGACAACGTAGAGCTCAGAGTGCTCGACTTGATCAAGCTCGAGGTACATCTTGCTGATATTGAGCGCGTCGATACGATTGCCTTGAGGGACATAGGGTAGAGTAGAACTCAGCAAGGTCACGGGAGGTTGCTTGGGACAAGAAGTCCGTCTTCCACAAGGTGTAGGCCAGAGGCCGGAGGTCGTCGAGTGGGGTGCCCACGAAGGGCTGCACAGAGGAAGGGAGGAGGCTCAAAACCTGTCAAGAGGGACGATGTAGGGGTAGCACTGAGGAGGAACGACGACGAAGAACACTTGTGTGGTCGAGGGCAAAACCAAAGATGATCATTAACGGACTGTTTAGCTGACCTATGATTGGGCATAAACAGTCCGGCTTCTACAGAGAAAGAATACCGGATAATTCCGGATGACCGGATATTATCCGTAAGTGACCGAACCTCGGCGAAAAAGGCCAAAGCAACGGCCAAAGTGCCCCTTCTTGACACGGCCCTCGCGGTGAAATGTCTTAACCCGCTAGGATGGACGAGATTTAAATGATAATCTAAACTCAATTGATGACTTACTAATAATATCCAGTCATCCGGAATTATCCGGTCTTCTGTTTGTGCAGAAGTCGGACTGTTTCTGCCCAATCATAGGTCAGCTAAGCAGTCCGTTAATCATCACTTTTGTTTTTCCCCCGACCACACAAGCGTTACTCGTCGCTACCCCTCCTCAATGCTACCTCCTTCCTCGTCCCTCTTGACAGGGTATGAGCCTCCTCCCTTCCTCTGTACAGCCCTTTCCCTGAGAGACATGGTCTCTCAGGGCAACGGGATTTATGCTCTTAACCTCCTCAAGCTGTATCTCGAGCTCGATCAAGTCGAACACTCCGAACTCTACGTCATGGATCCTACTCTGTCGGAGACCGATCATGATGCGCATCTCGCAGAAATCAAGGTGCACACGAACGTCATTCAACGCGAGGTTGACCGTGCGAGTCCAAAAAGTTTGCAAATCAACGCTCTGCGGTCAACACCTTCTTGGGATCAGCGATCTCTAGGAACCTTTGCCGCCTCGATCAGGCCACGGCTTGTCCCTACACAGAATGGTCCGATGTAGGTGTCCCACCCCCAGTGAGTGAAAGCCACGCGCTCGATGGTTGGTGCCCTGTCTATGCCGAAGACGTCTGCTCGGAGTTCGTACCAATGTCCAAGCGAGGCTGAAATGCGTTGTCCTTGGTTTTGTCGTCGTTCGTAGTCCTTTGTTTCGTCGTTATCCGAGTCCGTTGTGTCGTTGTCATGGAAGTAGTGGCCTTGAAGCAGCGCTTGGAAGGTCCCCCTGCGTGGCGGATGATCGGGCGCCCCAATAGGCATGTCTGGCTTCGTGTTGTTGCATGCCATGATATTGATAAGTGATGTAAATGAATCGTGATTTTGTGATTGGTTTCTTATAATACCGGTGGGAGGTACAAGTCGTCGAGATTGTGGTGGTTTCATTATACGATATATAACGGCTACAGACTGTAGATTGAGCAAAATGTAGTCATTGTTCAATTACCATGTCAAGTTTCACCCTCCAAATCACCGTTGCGGTTGTGCCGTGAAAGCGCTGGGACGGTGAAATATTGGCTTCGTGACATAGACGAATCAAGGAATAACTTGAAGAATCGATACGAAGAAGATGCCGCTAAGAAAGATTGCGCGCTGTCGAAGTCATCGAGCACTCGCCTGCGAAAGTGTGTCGTCAGGAATAGAGAATCAAAGCAACGACATCGAGACTTCAAAGAGATTCAAAGCAACGACATCGAGACTTCAACATTTTTGTCGAATGCACAACAAAAGCGTGACGACGAGACGTCTGTAGATGTAGATCGTGTTAAGATTTTTTAGTTTGGCAAGGTGATGCAGCGAGGGTGAAAATCCTCATGCCATGTGGAACTGGTAGAAATGGGATCAAAACGATGAGCAATCACCTGACATTTGCCTCACGAATCCGGATATCAGGGCCTCATTAGACCTAGTTTGCCTTACGGTTTCACTAGATGTACCACCTACAGTACGTGAAGCAGAACCTTTATCTATCGATAATTCTATGCTGAGATCAGATATAAAGTATCAAAACTAATTATGAGTAAGGAGTCAAAATTGTCTGCGAATACAGTGAACGAGGAAATTTAAGGTACACCGGGGAAGTTTGAATATTACATACGCTATTTATATCCAATGAAAAGCAAGTATTTCGTTTCTGTCATTTCATTCGTCATAATATTATACTCGCGCCAAATCAAGAATAAGAAGCCGGTGAAGTTGTACAGTCTGCACAATAAGTATAGACGCACCCCAAAATTTTGGGTTCACAAAAGATCTGTTGATGCTGCAGCCACGCTAGTTGTACGTGCAGAAATTAAATAAACCAAAACGGCATTCCCCAAAAGGAACAAGGGCTGCTCGTTGCCGTTCACAAGAAAAACCAAAATTTCGAAAATTTGGTTGCACAAAAAGTATAGACGCACTTTGAATTCGAAACTTCTATTGGACATTTTTTGCACTTTTTAGCCAATTATTAGCCTCCAAATTGGTACACATGTTTTAGAATCATGACGAGCTACCACCAGCAATCTCAAGACGGAAAAAGCGACCCCCAGGGATGCCAAGGGGGCCAAACATCACCGAGCAAGAGAAGGGCCAGATAATGGCTTTTCTTCAGCTCAAAAAGAGCTATCGCTACATCGCCAAAGCAATCCAGCGAAGCGACAAGCTTGTACGTTCGTTTGTCCGAAGTATTGGCCAACCAGTACCGCAAAAAAAGCATGGAAGACCCTCCAAGCTCAAGCGCCGTGACGTCCGACGTATCTTTCGACTCGCCACCCGCAAGAACATGTCGTGCAAGCAGATATCGGCTGCACTAGAGGGTAAAGTAACACGAAACACTGTTCTTAACGTGTTAAAGGCGTCTAAATTCGCCAAGTATATCAAGCGCCGGTCCGGTCCACGACTCACCCCCAAGCACCGAAAAGACCGTGTCGAGTTCGCAAGTCGCTACCTCAACAAGGCTGCTGAATTGAAGGCTACGTTATTTACAGACGAAAAGAAGTTCAACCTAGACGGCCCCGATGGATGCCAGTACTACTGGCACGACTTGCGTCAGGATGTCGAGACGTACTCGAAACGTGTCGCTGGAGGTGGCTCGGTTATGGTGTGGGGTGGCATGAGTTCCTACAACAAGACGTCGTTAGCCTTCCTGGAGGGTCGGCAAAACTCCCGGAAGTACCAAGAAACCCTGCGATCGCACCTGTTGCCCGCAATGCGCGAACTTGTCGGCTTGGTCCCTAGCCATGAAGCCATTTTTCAACAAGATAATGCCAGTATTCATCGTTCCCACTCCACCATGGCCTACCTTGCTGAAATGCCGTGGCCAACAATGCCTTGGCCTGCCAAGAGCCCAGATTTGAGTCCGATTGAGAATGTTTGGGGCGTTCTCGCGAGGAAGGTCTACGAAAACGGTCGTCAGTTTGAAAGCAGAGCCGAATTGAAAGCACAGATTGAGAAATCATGGGCTGAAATCGATCAGGGGTACCTATCTAAGTTGGCTGAAGGTATGCCAACACGAATGGCCCAAGTTATCCTCCGCCGTGGCCAATGTATCGATAAATAAATGCATCGATTGAGAGTGCGTCTATACTAATTGTGGAACCAAATTTTCGAAATTTTAGTTTTTCTTGTGAACGGCAACAAGCAGCCTTTATTCCTTTTGGGGAATACCGTTTTGGTTTATTAACTGTAAATTTCTGCACGTACAACTAGCGTGGCTGCAGCATCAGCAGATCTTTTGTGAACCCAAAATTTTGGGGTGCGTCTATACTTATTGTGCAGACTGTATCTATCCTTTTGTCATGGTTACAAATTTGGTTTGCCCACACCATGGACACCGTAGAGCGCACTGCTCTGGCTAAAAGCCATCACCACGTGTACCCCACATCGCTGAAACTTCAAGTGGTGGCGATGACGTCGACCATGTCGATCCGAAAGGTGGCGTTCGAGATGTCGATTCCCTATCCGACTATTCGTAACTGGGTCAAGTTGGCAGTAAAACTGCATGACTTCAAAGAAAACAAGAAGTCCACGAACCTGCCAGGTGCTGGACGGCTTACCATCAAACGGCAACCCGAACTGCTCTTGGCGTTCATGGACGACCGTCGCCATCAAGAACGAGCACTCACATGCAGTCACATGGTCAACTTCCAGAAGCAACACCAGCAACCGTGACTCCAAGAGTACATCTCACGACAGAAGTAAGGGTGTGGATATGACAACCTCTTGAAAACCCTACAGGAGTTTTGTGGACGATATGGATTCACCCATCAACAGGCCTCAATGTCGAAGTGAGTCATCACTGACTTGGAAATCACACGTACCGAATTCGCAGCCCGCTTCTTCAACCAACACGGCAACATTCCCATATTCCCGACGATTGTGTCTACAATGCTGATGAGACTGGGATCCAATTCGACATGCCGCCGCGGTGAGTGTCTCAAGTTATCCTAGGGAGAGAAACACTCTCACGATACGACCCAATGGACCTCACCTTGTCAGACAAATCAACGCACGACATTTGGTCTTTGTATAGAAAATGAAGAGTCATCTACCAATGGAAAGCCTACGAAGTTTTGAACTTTCCCAATAAGACTAATGTCGGACAGAATTGTCGTATTCGCCAAGTTATCCATACATATCATATCACTACAATCAAATACACCACAAACTACTCCAACCACCACAACTCATGCTACCACCTCATCATACACCACCAACACGATACTCGTCACCATTACAACACACCCATCACGCCACTAAGCCACACCGCATCGACAACCCTGCTACAAGCACTCGCCACCAAAACCACAGCAACGACACCCCACCACATCACAACTTCTCGCCATGCCACCATTGTGACGATATCGTCACGACGCACGTGAATTTTTGACATTTCTCAAAAATTATTTCGATATGAAGTACGCGACCACCACTGGTGGTTGCATGTCAGTATTAGTATTGCCGTGGCGGCGGGAGTTGTAGAGGCGGCAGGTGCCGTGGTGGTGGTGTTGGGATGGCGTGCGTTGAGTGATACAGTACGAATGTTGCAATGGCGGAAGTTGTTGCGACTGCGGGTCTAGTTTACATCAGGACTGTACTAGTATAGGTAATTAGTTTTGATATGTGAATTATTCATTCCCTGATAGCGAAGCCTGATGTTCATTGATATTAGAGACTTTTAGCAAGTCTGCACGAATTGTTAGGTCACTTCGTTCAATTACTGTATTATATGACCGCATGTAGATATGCCTCTAGTGATGGTGGCATCATTCCAAAATACACACTATTAGTGTTCTGACCACGATCGCACGTAATGCAGTTTGTCAAGAGCACGGCGACTTTGTACATCTTGGCAATTGGACTGTTTCCAATCCGCATTTTCTTTTTGTAGTCAACAATGGGCCAATATCGAACAACTTGTCCGAACGACCACTCCACACTAATACGAACGCGGCTCATACTCTTGTTCACGACGCGCTGGGCATCCGTAAGTCGGGCACCTCCAAACGGCGAGGCCAGATGGTTTGAATAGCCGTAGGCTGGATCACCGTACACAACAAACTCAGCAAAGCGATCGTCGTCAGCCAACACGTTCTCCAAATTCGACTGCCGCAGGATGGTTAGGACATGCCGTCGACCTTCGATCGGCCCAAAAGCATGGGAGATGATGCCATCGGGGGTGACCAACGATTGGAACTTGACGGCATGGCGTCGTTTATGTCCATTGAAGACGGTTCGATGACGTTCATCACCACTCGGTCGACAGCACTCACGAACGGTTCCGTCGATGAAGGCCCACACGTTTTGAACTTCACCACCCTTTGCAATGATCGCATTACTGTACTCGACTAGTTGGGCGCTGATCCGGTATCTATCGAGAAATATGATTTCGTCGAATTTGTTGTGGATATGGTCGAGGACATGCAGGAAAATGTTGCACAACCCACTCTGGGACCGTCCTAACATTGAGATCAAGCCTGACCAACGATCAGGGACCGCAAAACGTACACATAACGCCTCGACGCCACTGCATGAAGTACGTTCGGTCGTCACAACTCGACTGGGGATGCGCAAGCACGCGGATAAACGGCGTAAGGACGCTTTGGTGAAGCGAAACTTCTCGATGCAGTCCGCATCGGAATAGTCGTCGAGGGTAAACGTTATTGCGGGTATGGTGAGGCGGGAGCGTCGCTGTTGTTGACGCAACAACGCCAGTCGCACACGGAAGCGAAGCGAAGACCGATGGACGAATTGGGAAAAGTAATCGGATTGGGTGTACATTTTGCCATGTGTTTAGTCTGCAGACTTTTCATGTTTGCTAAATATGAAATTTGAAGAAACCAAGCTGTTGACTACAACCAAATCGAACGAAGTAAATAGTGTGAAATCTATCTACTTTTCGCACTTGCTAAAAGTCTCTGTACTGTCAAGATATACTGCGTATTTTAATACGTACTATTAAAATAGTACTATTAATAAGTCTCTCAAAGAAAGCCAGAATATAGAATTTCGATTTTACACATCAGTATAAATACCATTTTTTACTGCAATAAATAAAATAAATAGCTACTACTACTACTACTGTATCAATAGTACTAGTAGTATGTTCTGAATGTAGTAATTACTACTACACTGTACGTAGTATTAATATCTATCTATTACTACAGTATTATTAATAATAGTAGTATCTACATATAATAGTCGATCGGAAACCAATACATACATACCTTCTTTGAGACGATGTTGTTTCTGCAGCGCACGAACGAGCTATAGTACATATGCTAGCAACAAGTACGCAATCAAAGTGGGGTAGTTAATATTGGTTCGATATGATCAGTACAACACAACGGGTCTCACAGTCGCAGGAACTGCCGCGCATTCCGAGTCGTGACCCGCGCGACTTCAGCGGCTGACACGCCGAGGCAGCCGGCGATGGCCTGCACGACGTGGGGCAGGCTGGTGGGGACGTTGGGGAACTGCCTCTTGGGCCCGGACGGCTCGAACGACCGACAGCCGGGGAAGCCCATGTACGGCGCGTCGGTTTCGACGACGAGGCGGTCGAGGGGGAGGACGCCGGACGAGAGCATGGACTGCAGCGCCGCGCCGTGCGGCTGTTTGCAGACGAAGCCGGTGATTCCGATGTAGAACCCCATGCCGATGTACACGGCAGCCTCGTCCGCGGTGCCCGTGAAGCAGTGGACGCACGCAGGCGGTAGCGTCGGGATATGCGGCGTCAGTGCCTCGACGAAGGCCTTGTGGGCCAGACGCTCGTGCAGGAAAAGAGGCTTTTGCAGCGACACAGCGAGGGACAGTTGGGGACCGAACCATTCGAGTTGCAGGTCGGGGGATGGAAAGCCTTCCGAGTAGTCCAAGCCGCATTCCCCCACTGCGACGACGGTCGGGTCGGCGGCCATCGACGACAGGATCGCAAAGTCGCTGGGGTCGAAGGGCTTTGTCGCGTTGTACGGGTGGACGCCAGCCGTGGGAAACACGGTCTAATGCGATTCGATATGAGATTGAGGATAACGAGATGGTGAGGAAGGGACTGTACGTACGGTGGGGTGTTGACGAGCGAGGGCAAGGCACTGCTGGCTTTCTTCGATCGTGGATCCAGGAACAAGCATCTGTGTCACGCGGAGGTGGCGCGCAGACTCGATCAGTGCATCGGCTTGCCCGGTGAACTCGGGATGGGTCACGTTGCAGTCAAAGTCAAAGAGGTCGACCGAGTCATCGAGCCACCCTGGAAGTACGTTGACCTTGCTACTTGGACAGTGGCCATCAGTCTTGATCTCATGGAGTCGGTCTACCTACCTTGGTGTCTTGGCCGTCTGCTGCTTCTTTGCCTTTACCTTGGATCCATTGGAGCTGGACGGAGGCGGTGGCGGCGGAGCTGCGTCGGTGCTACTCATTCTTGCTTCAAAGTAAAAAGTCCTATTTAGGATTATATGGGCTGATTTCGAGCCAACCACCAAGTTGAATTCACAAACTCATGGAATCATGTGGGAATACGGCCTGAGCAACTACCCGTTCGTGCCTGTGGAGGTAGGTCTTAACCGACGCATCAGCTATACCCTTCCCAGTCGCATCCCACAGCACTGTGTCCGACTCTTGAATGCATCAGCGGCGCGTGAGCATTGGGAGTGCACAGGACTGCCAGAACTGCTCGTGCGCAACACGGCGAGCTACCCATTCCACTTGCCCAACACCCGGCTGAAGTGGCAGGGCAACGTCCGCTCCGCCGACAAGATGTATCTGCCAAAGATCCGTGCGTCGCGAGATGCGAGTCAATTTCTGAAACGCTTCAAGGACAGCGGCATCCCGCACGACGTGTTGGCAGAGCTCCTCTTGGAGGAAAACAGGTACACACACCCTTCTTCCATGATCCGCTTCGTCGTTGCATGTTGTTCACTCGTCGTCAAAATCCAATACGTTTAGACTCCAGGAAAGCAACCGCGCGCTTCGCTCCGACCGACAGGGCAATGCACTCCGCGCCACCACATGGAACGACCACCAACTCTTGTTCTACCCCACGGGCGAACTGCTCCACCAACTACAAGTCAAGCGCAGACGAGGAGAAACGTGGCACTCAGCATGCGACCAGCCCATCAGCCTTGTGAATCCCATCCAACAGATCGACCTTCTCGGCACCATCGACGCAGGAACCGTTCCTCGAGCGGTCGTCCGCGGCGCCGCGTCCTGCCACGTCATCACATTCCACGACGACTTTTCCCGCCACAAGGTCGACGCGATCACGTTTCCATCCATGCTGCATCACATCGCCCCCAGTCCGCACGTCCATGCAGAATTCTCATCCTTGTCGTCAAGTGGCGAGTTGTACTCGTGGACGCCCGAGGCCGGCGCGCGAGTCGTGGGGCATGCGACGCCGCAGCAGCGCTGGCTTCGCTGTGCCTACAGCAGGTAAGCCGAGTCAAGTTGCATTAACGACCATTTTGTTTGACTGATGATGTAGCCATCCGTGTGTGCTGTGGATGGCGAACCGGCACGCCGTGGGAAGTTATGACTATCGCGTGCCCGCGCCGGAAGGGTTCAACTGCGACTGGCTCGTCGACTACCTTCCGACCCCCACCGAGATTGTCGACATCCAACGGCATCCCAGGTAATATATAACAGTATCGCATAGATGATGCGATTTACATGAAAAGAACTCTACCCATGTGATCTCAATATGATGATGATGCTGTAGCTGTCCATTTCAACTGGTCGTGCGCACAGACAACTCTGTGGACATAGTGGACATGCGCAGTCCGCACAAGTCGATCATGCAATGGCAGCACCCAGACCTCTTCTTCCCGTCCACCGCCTCCTCCAAGCAGCCTCATGTCGTCGGTACCCTCAATATCCTCGATATTTCCACTCCACATCAAGACAGAGGTATATATATCTATATCGTGAATATATATATATATATATTTGTGGCTAGCCATGGTGATTTCCGGCTCGTCTGGCACCAACAAGGTGTCTGTGCACTGGTACCACGGCCACGCATCCCACGACCCGTCGATGCTGTCGTTGCGACGAAGCGGGTCGTCGGCCAGCCAACTCGCGGCCGCCGACGCCGCCTTTGACATCCACCTGCCCGACCCGACACCATCGATCCACCAGATTGGCGTGAGTGCGCTGCGCACCGCCGACGGCGTCTGCGATCTGTTTCAACTGACATCACTGGGGGACGTCTACTGCCAATCCATCGTCCACCACGCCCACACGACGCTGCACATGCAGACCAAGTGCGTTCCATCTGCTTCTCTTAAGTTGGTGCATAACCAACCCTTGGGCTTGTAGCTTGCCTTGCGGGCGAACTCTGGCGAGTCGTCGAGTCGACATTATGCCAGTACCCGCCCAAGCGTTTCTACCCGAACACGATGCGGCGTCGCTGCCTCCGTTCCGTCTGCTCCCCGTTCGTAAACTCCACCGCGTCCTCGTCCAATCAAATTCCTCCGTCCTTCCCCTCCTTCCCCCCGACGACCCGTTGGAGGACCTCCCCCACCGACTCGCCGCCGTCGCAACCCCGTCCATGACACTGCTCGGCCTCATGCACACATACCGCCATGTCCGACCAACCTACGGCCAACTGGGGGAAGCCGTCCGCGCCCTTGCTCATGTGACGTTGCGGTTCGCAACGCCCCACTCCCGCTCCCAATACCATACCCTTCGACGAGTCAGCACCGCCGCCGACCCGTCGTTGAGGATGGCGTCATGTGGATGCCACTCCCCACTGACGACGTACCTCTCGACGTCCTCGTCCCCCCCGCCGCCGCTGCCCTGCGAACACGCCCAATGTCCACTGCCACACTTGTGGGTGATCCACCACACTCCCCCAGACCAACGACATTCAATTCCTCCATTGACCAACCAGCCCCTCCAGTACGACCCAGCCGCCATCGCCACCTCGTCGCATGCCCAAATCATCGTCGACTTGGAAGCTGTGTACGGACGCTCGACGGACGCCCTGCCGCAAAGTCCTCGCCGGGTCCAACACCAGCAAAAGCACATGACGACGTTGTCGTGGTGATCATCCCCCGTAGTATTACTAGTAGTATTCCTTTAGTACCTTCACCCAGGGCTTGGTAATCGAGGAATAAGCCCGACATCAGAGGAATGTGTGTCAGGGCATTTCGTGCTTGTCTTTTTTCACATGTTTTTGCACTAAAATACAATCACACAACAGTCAGTTAGTCGACAATAAGGTCGATCAGGGCAGTGTCGTACACATTTTCAAGGTCGGGAACGCCATGGCGCAGCTCCCGCACGGGAATTCGTCGTCGTCGTCAACTCGTTTTGCTTTGCCCAGAGCCGGAACGGGAATGGGAACGGAACCGTCACTTGTTTTCTTTTGGGTTTTCCGCTTGTCTTTGCGCTCTTGGCGTTTGTCGGCTGCTTTTCGCTCGCGTTCGTCGCGCTCTTGGCGCTTGGCGGCCTCTTCTTCTGGCGTCAAGAGCACGACGACCTTTGGCGTCGTCTGTTGGTCTGGTGAAGCTGTCGTCTGTTCGGATGGTGAAGCTGTCGTCTGTTCGTTGTGGTCGTGGGTTCTGGCGTCCAGTTCGTCCAGTTCGTCCAGCAGGCTTGGGTCAACCCCTGCCAGCACCATTTGGTCGCGATGTTTCTTGGAGATGAGGTGATTTTGTGCCTGCTTTTCCGACTTGAACTCCTTTTTGCACAGGTGGCACACGAGCACCATCGCGTCCGCCTTGGCGCGGCGCTTGGCTTCCTCGGCCCGCAGTGTCTCAGCCGCGTACTCTGACGTCGTCGCAGCCGCCTCCCACGATGCCTGGAACGCGGCCTTCTCCGCTTCGAACGCCAGTTTGCGCGCCGCAGCCGCCGCCGCCTTGTCCGCCGCTTGACTCAGCCGGAGCGCCTCCTTCTCCTGGACGTGCTTGATCATGCGCTTGTCCCGCTTCCGGACGTAGTCGGCCAGCGCCCGGACGTTGGCGCTGAACGTCTTCTTGCCTGTGTCCCGCGCCTTTTTGTTGTCTTTTTCCATCAGCCGCCGGATCTCGCGGCTCGGCGCGTCCGTCGTCTTGTACTGATCGAGCCATGAGAACGACTGATCGGTCATGTACGACCGCCAGTAGTCGTAAAAGGCATGCGGAACCTCTGATGTGGAGGAACCGAACGAAGGTGCGGGCGTCGAGTCGCCGCGCGCGGCTTGGTCGAGGGCATCGATCTAGACACGACCATGGAGTTCGTGGGGCGAGGAAGGGGACGAGGAAGGAAGGATGGATGGTACCTCTTCGAATACGCCGCGGTAGACAGAGTAAAAGCCGCGGTCGTCGTCTTTGAAGCCTTTGTAGATGGACGTGCTAGTAGTGGTCGCGATGAGATGTGTGGAAAAGCATAAACGAGAGTGCGCGAGACGGCGTACCTGAAGAATCGCATGACGTCGAATCGGTCGTCGTCAGCGTCGCCATCGTGGTGTGTGCCGTCGTCGCCGCGAAGGATTTGCTCGCGATGGTCGTCGTACCACGCGCGTTCTTGCGGGTCGCTCACCACTTCGTACGCACTTTGGATTTCCTGAAACACTTGCGTTGCTGCTTCCACGTCCTGGCCGTCCTTAATCTTGTCCGGATGCCATTTCAAAGCTAGCTTGTGGAAGGCCTTGCGCAGCTCTCCAGCTGTCGCATCCCGCTCCACGCCAAGTACCTCGTAGTGACACCGCATGTTGATACAGCGTCAGTGTTGAACTCGCAGGCGACGTCGTTGACTCGGTGGAGACCGGCGCTCGATCGAGAGTGATGGTCTCGCCGTGGGGAAATTGCCCAATCTTACGATGAAGCCAGGTGAAATCCTAACCGAGCAGTTTCACCACTCAAATTCAGCAATACGAAACGTGAAAAGTTGCTTCAGCTACGACAACTATGCTACGGGGTTTCGGGGTTTACTCGGAGATCCATTAGCTATGGACTTCGTCCTCTACCATGGGGAATCGTCTGAAATAGGATAGGGTGATAACGTACTTGGGTTGAAATTGAAGTGTTGACTGCAAAACGGGAAAACTCCCACAAGTAACCCCTGAAACTCAGTACTCCAAACCTGTGACAGTTCATATATTAATAACCGAGGCGGTTTCGGATTGGCGCCATCACCGCCGCCGACGTTGATGGCCACGGAAGCCAAGTCGTTGGGCTCGTCAAGGAGTCAGGCCGCTCTCGAAACATGTGCATCCAATGACTTTACCCCTGTACTTGGCCTTTCTGCATCTCGAAGCTGCGTGAAGATCATGACGTCATCGAGGAGTCAATCTCGAGTGTCCAACTCCCCCAGCCAAACCAAGGTCTCCAACCTTGTCGTTGCGCAATCCGAGGGCGAGATTGCCCGAGACTTTTTCGTCGATTGCGGCACCCATACGTTTCCCTACGGTGCTCCTGTCGTTTTCACAGACCTGTAGAGTCTAGTAGTAAATTTAGGCACCTTTGCTTAGGTGAATCATACCAAATGGACCCCAGCCTTCCAGGAGATGCCGAAGTCGCGGCGCAACGGGAGGTACAACTTCCTATTCAAGTACTACCCTTGATCGTTCGTTCGTGCTAGATCTGTGACAACGTCGAAGACTGGACCGAAGCCCTCGTGGACACCATCGACGACCTGCTCCAGTGGAAGGACCAGATGATCGCTCTGCACGCGCTTCCCACCAACGCCATTGCGGGGCTGGTGCTGCTGTCGTCTCGGTTCTGTCGGTGCAAAGGCCACCTCCAAGCCGAGCTCGCACGCATGCTGGACATGACGCATAGCCTCATTGGGAACCTCCTCCTGAACAGCCACATCCAACAGTACAAGACTAACATGATCGATATGAGCGTCGCCATGGACAACGAGAAGATGGTGCTTGCGGAAGAGCAATGCAAGCTCCGCGCAGCACTGGCGCAACTGACCCTCGTAAAGGCGTCGCATCGGATGTTCCGGTGGACGCGGCTCTCCAGTCGTCTGCGCGAGAAGGAGCTCACCCACGAGTTGGAGCGGCAGGCGAGTCTGTTTGATGCCAAGCGCGAAGAGTTCCATCAAGTCGTCAAAGTCCAGCGCGAGCAAATCACGGCCCTGACGGACACGCTGGCGTCGCTGCAGTCGACCAACGCCGCGCACGCCGCCCCCAAGACCAAGATCGTCCTCATGCCCGCCACTGCCGCCACCCAGGCGAAAGCGGCTCGTCTCAAGTCGGCTCCAGTTCGATCGGTGGGGTTCGAACGACCCACGCCTTCTCAACGGGGGGACGCTCAATGGAATGACGGGAAGAGCCCCAACACCCCGCCGGCGAAGTCCAAGCGACAGCAGCCCAACCAGCCGCTGCCATTAAACAATAACCAAGAAAAGTCTATCGACGGAGTGGTCGCCGTGGTGAAACCGCCCGCGAGGCCGCGCACATCGGGGGCCACACCAAGAGGACGGCGCCAGCAGGTAGGTACTACGTACAGTAGTACACTCATGTCACGAAGAAGGTTGTACATGTACTCAAGTACTCAATATGATGTTGGTTTGTAGGCCCAAGGAGTCCCAGCGACGGCGTTGGAGTGGCGGTCGCCTCAGGACATGTCGGTGGAAGAGCGGCGGGTGCATTATAAAGTACTTAGCCTCATAGATTTCACCACCAGATATATACTACTTACTGTAACAATGGACCTAGAAATCGTGGCAAGAGCAACGGCAAAAGCAGCGGGACGAGGCCACTGCCAAACATTTGGACCATGTCAAGTTGGATCTCCATGGGGTCCCCCCTATGCAACAAGAAGCCCCCGACACGACCGACAACGATGTTCTGCAACTCGAAGTAGGCGAAGCTGCGACATCTGTCGTGGCGTTGGCGCACGGGAACAACGCACTCATCAATAGTTTAGGCGTTCGAAAAGATAAACCAAAACGTTAGCATCAGTGTAATCGTGTTCATGTCGTCAGAGGCGGTCACTTTAGGAGCGCGAACGGTGGCGGCTACGCGGAGGGGGCGAGCGGCGACGCGCCGGGGAGCGCGAACGAGATCGGCGACGCGGACTGCTTCGTCGCGGGGGGGTTCGGCTGCGGCTGCGGCTGCGACGACTGCGACGGTCGCGGGAACGGGAGCGAGACCGATCCCGTCGGTCCCGTCGACGAGGAGATGACGCTTGGCGGTCACGCTTGCGCATTTCTTGCGGCGTCTTGCGCTTTTCCTGCGCCATGACTACAGTCAAGCGGTTGCCGTCGAGTTCGCGGCTGTCGATTTCCTTGATCGCAGCTTCGGCGCCTTCGAGGTCGGTCATTTCGACAAACGCAAAGCCTCGCGATTGCTTGGTGTAGAAGTCGAGAGGGGTGTACACGTCGCGGACTTCGCCATATTGATTGAAAAGCTCCTTCACGTCGTCCGCAGAGGTGGATTTGTTGAGGTTTCGCACCAAGAGCGAGACGCCAGCCTTGCCTCCACCGCCTCCACGACTGCGGCTGCGGCCGCGGTCCTTCTCGTCGCGCGAGCGCGAGCTCGTTCGCTCTCGAGACACACTTCTGTGGACCGAGTCTTTACGGCGCTCTTCGCTGCCAGAGACGGCTCGGTGGTCGGCACTCCCGGCGGAGAGCGAGCGGCTACTCGAACGGCGAACATCGTCGTGATCACTCATTTTTGTACAGAGCTCGAGTCGAGTATTCGTGGCCCCTGGCCTGCCAATGGGAATATCCGGAAAACGATGAATGCTGTATTGTATCCGGAGCAATTTGGATTTGCACACAAACCTCTGAAGTTTGATACTGAAGCCGTTTCTAAATTTAACAGCACCTGACTACCGCACATTCTTACCGATATACAGTACCTCCACAGTACCTCCTCTACTGTTGTTGACTTGTACGACTTGTAGCGTTAGAGCAAATTCGTCGAGAATGCTTAGAGAACGAGAAATGCACCGTGAAACGAAGCTTTCAAGGCGACTTACTGAGAACAGGGACTTAACCTTTGAATATTAATACATTGCATACCATATGGTATACGAAATGCATTAGATGTGGCATAATTCGTGGAAAATACGGCAATACTGCCGATTTGTGACCGATAATTTTCGCAATGCAACATGTCGCCGATTCCAGTATCAAGTCCGAATAGCACGGCGAGGACATCTCACATGACGCAGTGCATACACATCACGCCACGTGCCTACATCCTGCCCTTCCTACTACTCCTGCTGTGCCATCACCTTCCTCTATGGGTCTTCTGGGCCGCCCTCAGTCCTCCGACAACAAATGATGAGGACGCATGCGACCGCACGTTCTCACAATGGATATCCCAGACCTTTGTGCTTCATCTTGCCATTCCTGTTACGTGTATCGTGTCGATCATTGTGACGTTTCTCTCGCCAATCCATCGGCCCCATGCCAACCGCAGGACATGCTTCAGTGAAACCCCGCTCATTGTGGCCGTGTTCCTGCTTTACGTGGCCCTCGCCTCGTGGGATGCGTACGGCATCCATCGATCCCGCAGGTGTTTCCCAGCGTCCCTCCACCACCGCGGTGGCATCCTCGCATTCGACCTCACCGTCTCCATCCTCGTGCTTCTCGCGTGGATCGCGTCCATGTGTTCAGCGTCGCCGCTCTCGGAGGCCGACATGCGCGCCAAATTCACCAGTCGGCTGCGCTGTCTCACGTACGCGTTCGTCTGTCGACGCTACGACAACGACGACGAAACCACCGACATGTTCTCCTTCCTCGCCGAATCCATGGCGCAGTTCTTCTACGTCCGTCGCCGCGACCACGTACCCCGCATCGACATCTCCCACCCACTAGTTTCCAAGAGTACCTACCTGTATGTAGGAGACGCCCCTGCCGCTTCCCGATGTCCTCTTCGCCCTCCATCTCGTGGCCAAGGTAGGTACTAACTGCTCTTCCATAGCCTTTGTTGCCTATCCATCACGCTTCTATCATGTTATTACGAGCATATTCCTCCTAGCGCCAAGCCAGCGAGCGTCAACTGCTGGCGCCCCCGTCGCCGTCGACTGTCATGACGGACGTAAGCCCATCCATCTACGTTGTCGCATAACCACGTCACACATCGCCGTTTGTTTGTAGCCGTCCATATTTGACGACGCCATCCAATACGGCAAACTGGCGGGCGGGATCTATGGCTGGCGGCTCTTCCTCTACTACAACCCGCTCTCGTGCCACAAGGTGCTCGCGTGCTGCCAGTCGCGCGACGTCCGGCGCCACCTCAACGCGGTACCTTAAACTCGGACTTTCAAAGAACGTTCCTGGAGCGTTCCGTAGGTCCGCGCGCACTCGGCGAGCCGCCATGGCCCCCGCGACGACGTGTCGTTCGTGTGCTACGCCGGCGTCACACACACATCCGTGCAGTACATTTCCGGCGCCAACGAACTGTTCAAAGTGCCGTTTTCAGTGTGCCGAGACGACGTCAAGAAGGAGGTCGTCGTCGCCATCCGCGGCTCCTTCTCATGGCATGATGTGCTCACGGACGCGTTGGGCCGGACGGTGCCCATGGCAGCCCACGAAGCCACCAGAGGTTTGTACAACGTCCCATATATATATATATTATTCTATACGGAACTGAACTACTACGTGGTATATGCTTCACAGATATATATATATATATATACTGTATTCATGCGATTATATGTATATATTGTAATATCATATATTTGGTCCGACCAACCTGATCACGATAATCGCTCGCATTGGCCAATATATGTGAAAATGCTTGTTGCTGATTGGCTACATTATCTTTTCTTTTGGTGCTGATTTCATCTTCGGAATCGGGAAAGCCACTATGCGACGTCGCGGCAAGATATATGATTTGAGACTGGTGTTATTTCGAATCGCGCGGAATGGGGAATATTATATATTAAAATATTTGGCAACAACACTTGATCATTAGACGATGGCAGCACCATCTACACACACGAAGGCGCGCTGCGGTCTGCAAGGCATTTGCTTCACGAGCTTCAATCGGGCACCCTACGGGCGTTGTTTTGGGATTTTGCCCAATCGAATTGCCGCCGGGACGACCCCAACGCATCATGGCGGGTCGTTCTGACCGGCCACTCGCTCGGCGGCGGCATCGCGGCGCTGCTGACGCTCATGCTGCGCAAGGACTTGAGTGTCCACGGGTTTCTCTTCGCGCCCATGGCCGTGCTGGACGGCAGCACGGCAGACTGGTCGGCTCCGTTCATGACCACGTTCATCTACGGCGACGATTGGATCCCGCGCCTCACGACGTCCAACCTTGTAAGATATGTGAATGCATAATGCTTGTATATATGAATGGTGATTCAGAATATATATTACTTGTAGATGCGCCTCCGCAACGAGATCATGGTTGCGTATCAGCATGTATCGAATGCGTTGCTGTTGTCCGTGTACTTGGCCTGGTTCAACCCGACGCGACTGATGCCACAGATTCACCCCGAGTGGACCGACCTGGAACTTCTAGAGCCGGATGCAGGTGGTTGGATATATTATTATTTATCACAACAATATATATCTAGTATTTTCGACACGATAGGGATTTTATGTTTGATATTTGTCCACGTAGCCACGGCATTAGCCATCCCCGGCACGATCTTTCAAATTGCCCCAACCCAACCAGCTAGGATGTGCCCATGTGAAAAACTCCTGGGACGACAGGTACTTGTATATAGTTGGTGTCAATATATATATATATTTATGTATATATAAATATATTATTGACGGAGGAGGTAGGAGCTGGAGTGTGTCCGGCGCCACCGCCATGAGTTTGATCGGATTTGGGTAACTTATCGAGCCGTGGTGGACCATTTCCCACATCATTATGACCAAACGCTGTTGCGCATGCAGCAAAGCATGCGCGAAACCCAAGCCCACGACGTTCTATAAGTCCTGGTATTAATATATACTAGTACTACATAGTAGTACTTCCTCCGTTCAGTGAAGTTTTGGAGAGGTTTAAACATCAAGCAATTTGTTTACATTATGCATCAATTTTTCGAGGTACTTCGTATATACTACCGTCGTACTACCTGGTAGTACTAGTACTACTAGTAGTATATAAACAATTCAAAGGTGGTACTGTACTGTACAACAGTTATGACACAATAGCAAGCTATTATAGTACAGCTACAGTGGCTACAGAGCATTGAGTGGTGGACGTCAATCGTACATGCCGCCGTATACTACAGTAAAGTGATGAGCAAAGACAAACATATTGGGGGAACGTCCATCAAGCAAAAAGTCCATTTTCACGTGATATTAATAATATTTATAGTATATTGTGTCCACAGACCACCTGCCAAATAGAATGGTCGAGTTGGTATTTTCAGAATATAAACAGAACAATGCAGCTAATGTGTTGGACAATACAGAGTAATGACGCACAACACGTTGGGAGTGTGCACAAGCAAGCCAGCAGCTAGAGGGGAGATCGAGTAAAAGTATATTATCGATGCTGCTCCGTTCCCTCGTCGTTGGGCTATTGCTCGCTGCAGCAGTCGCCACGGATACCAGCAGCATATGCGACGCGTTAGAGGGGTGCGAGGCACCGCCCATTCAGCAGCCCACTGCCTCCGATTCCAACCACGCCGGCGACTTCAAAGACACTGGGACGAGACACGGGTTTACCGTGCCAGGAGCGTGCTTGGGGCCAGCTGTGCTCAAGCAACGCATTGGAGAGCTCGAAGGGCAATTGAGCAATGTTCGCGAGGACTTGCTGGCCACCACGGGGCAGATGGCTGGCTTGAAGACGATGTTGCAGGGGAAGGTTAAGGCCCTCGCAGCGGAGAACACGCAGCTTAAGGTGCTTGTGTCGGAGCTGGAGCTGCAAATCGACGTCAACCAACGTGACCTTGCCGTGCTGCACGACAAAGTGAGAGCGAAGGACAACCACGCCACATGGCAGGCCACGGTGGCGAGTTCCGTGAACACGGCGTGGCAAACGTCGAAACGGGCGGTGAACACAGCTGGATCCAAAGCCAAGGACCTCTACGACGCCCACATCCGTCCGACGGGGATTGAAGCGGTGTCCCAAGCCACGTCATTGGCGAAAACGGCAGCGGTCATGTACACGAAGCACGCGTCGAAGCATGTGGACTCGGTGATCGACCACGTCAAGACGACCGCGAGTCAACAGTACGCAGCCCATGCGCCGAAAGTCAAGGACGCGTTCGCCACGGTGGTCGCCAAGGTGGAGCAACTGGTCCAGACCGACCCAGCGTAATGTACTGGAAAGTACTAAGCTTACACCATTTTTCGTTGAAGTTCAGGTTATTTCCGGTATTTTCACGCCTTGTGCGTTATGTTCGCCGAACATTCGATATATTTCGTCCAGACCCTACTTCGTTGCAATATATTTCGACTAATGTCCAGTATATGTCACCCCACAAGCAAATCAAGTAAATCGCAGGTGATGGATACTTCTCTAAATCATAGATACTTCTCTAAATCATAAATACTTCTCTAAATCATAGATATTTGATTTAGAGAAGTATCCATCACCTGCGATTTACTTAATTGAGTTTGGATTATCATTTTTATGGACAATTGGAGGGCGTCAACTAGCTCTCTGGAGCTAATATAGGCGTTGGATGCAGTTCGAAAGGGCCGCCGGATGTCCTGTGGGGTGATTTTCGGTGGCCTTCCTGTGCGCTTGTTGATATTGTAGGACTCGGGGTAGGAAGTGCATAATGGCCTTTCCGGAATCTCCCACAAGTGTTGCCAACTCGGTTTGGCTCTTGCCGGCTTTGTGCAAGGCCAATACCATGCCTTGCTCCTCAGGACTCAGTCTTGGGCCTGCTGGCATGGATTCACACACTCGTTTGAAAAGCTTAAGGCGGGAATCGAATCAGGTAATTGCTTGGAGTGTGATAATATACGTGGGTGTTCTGTACTTTTTGACTTGCCAAAAAATAGGTAAAACGGTTTCTTCTATTTTGAATCGGTATGGTCAATGCGATTGCTGTGAAAGGGCATGCCGAGTGTTCGTGAGATATATTGTGCTTTGCACCTTTTTTGGCAATTCCAGGGTTAAATTCAATGTTTAAAAATTTCTCAGGCTTAAATAATGTCTAAAGTAACTTGAATAACGGTTGGGTGCGTTGTTTAACTGTAAAGTTACTTCATCAATTGCGATGATTGGTTGGTTGAAGGTAGTTTTACTGGCACTTTCGTAAAACAAGTTGTTTGCCGTTTTCATTCTGGCAAACAACTTGCTTTACGTCAACATGTCAAGGTGCTTGACGCAATGAAACTGAAGGAGCTATGGCCACATACATGACCTCCCATCCGTGATCACTACAGTACTAACATTATCTACTCCGAGTAATGTATATAACGTTAGGGATATAGTTAGGCTACAGTACT